CACAAACTAATTTGCTCATGTCAAAGGAAACCAACTCCGCTGGTTTGGTTTGGCGAAGAATGCTGTTAGTTTGCTTTCTGCACAAGTGTTCTAAGTCATCATCCATCTGCTTCACTACCAGCTCTTTAACTGTGTTGTGCAACACTGATGCTTTCATGATGGCTTTGCAGGAAGTGCTGAACAAGCCAAGAGCTAAGTACCTTACGACATTTGCAATCTCTCCATGGACAGTCTTTTTCAGATCTCCTGAGGGATAGCAGATAACTACCTATAAAATAAAGGGAGTTGGGCCACATGATCTTTCATTCGGTACTGTAGCAGCTAAGGTGTCTCCTCATTGTTCGCAGAAAACAATAACAACATTGTTTATCATTTCCATTGTTTTACGCTTTGGATAGCAAACCACTGAATTTGCTTTTATGGTTAGAAGAGCTGCTAAACATGACCCTTTCACTTCCTCACTGACATGAAAGTTAGGCAAAAAAACTTTATCGTTTTCACTATAAAAAGATGACACTGACTTATGTGAGACCTGTCAGTAGAGTTTATTTGGGCGCAAAATTATCACGAGGGGACTAAGCAAAGCAAGTTTTGAAAATGCTATGTTAGATTATTATAATGTACCTTATTATACTTAAGCTTATATAGATGTTATTCAAAACATGAAGTACTAGTACGTATTGAGACTCGCTGTTGTGAAGAAATCAAAGTAAAAAGGATCGGTCAAGATAAGTGAAAAAAAATTTTCAAACCTAAACAGGCACTTTTTGGGAAAAAGGCTCACATTCACTTGCCACATTTATAGCCATCTCAGTTTGTGGATGTACTTTTGACAGATCTTTGGCGACATGTGGTGACTGTTTTATCTCGATATTATTATGGTCGTCACCAGGTATGTCTTCGCAACCGGTCTCCGATGACTGAAGAGTTAAAGGGCTTCGGAGTTTCTTTCTGGCCCTAGGTGCTGGGCTAGCCTTTGAGAGTCGCTTGACGCGCGACGTCTTGTGACGCGCAGTCTGGTACTTTGCTCTAAGGTCTTTCAATTGCTCTGTCAGCACCTCTTTCTTCTTTGCAATAGACTCAACTTTACGATCGCAAGGCCTGCAAACACTGCTTGATTGAACATTGGTGTTAAGTTGATCGTCGAGGAGTCTTTCCATTTTTGAAGAAGACCCACGTGTTGTAAAACATTGAACGTGCATCATTCGCCCATTAGCGAAGTCCCGCATAGCAAACAAATGGTGTCTTTTCATACGGCACTGCCTGCCCTCTTGACCGGGGTTTTGGGAGATCGAAAAATACGAGGTGATCCCGAAGAAATGCTCATTCGCAACTCTTAATAACTTTGAATCGCGAACAAGTGCATAAAAATACAGAACCACTAACATGAATATTAAGCGTGGGAACTTACGAGCAACGAAGAAATGGCATAAATCGGAAGCGAGGCCTGGGGACGACAATGGATATGGCTTGGTTACCTTTTAACTTGGTGCATGCTCAACAAGAAAGTTTGAAGATGTCGGCAGAGTCGCCTTCCTCTTTCCCAACTTATCTAGGAAAGATCAAAGCGACTCTGCTAGCAGGGTAAACTCCCCCGTGACTCCCTGCCGACTAAGCTGTCAGATTTCCACCAACCAGTACGAAGCGAAAAAGAATGCGAATGTAAACAACCATTAGCAAACATGTGCCAAGGGTAATGATGTCATTACGTCATCTCCACATACGAGCATTTCACATCAACTTTTTTGACACAGATATTCAAATTCCGGCGACATAGATGCACATTCTCCTTCCTTTTCCCTCCCCGCTGCCAGAGTGCCCCGGAGAGCTTGGTGACAGGCTATTACACCTTTTGAAATAAAACATTGGCCTAACTTTATTGACACTGAGAGTAATACCTTTTTACGGCAAATGTTGAACTTACTGCTGCACTTGAGTCTTGCTTGTTTTGTGTCGCTTCTTGAAGCTAGAGTGTGTGGCTTTTCCACCTCTCCCTCTTTTAATTTTTTTGGTTTTGGCTGTTTTGTGACCTTGGCAATCATTGAAATATCGGAAGTGAATGTATCAGAGAATACTGGACATACAACCAACGAACAAACGTAGAAGCATTAATGCTTAACTGAAATCTAGAATTAAATGTAAAGCAGAAGAAAAGTTATCATTAGTTGCTGATTCTATTCAAACCGTAAGAATTAATGGACCTTCCTATATCATGACAACACAGACAGTCATATGTCCAACCTTACTATGATGACTTCCTTGAGAGAGAGGTACATAAAATGGCTCTGTTAAAGAAATAGTCCCCTGCAAACTCGGTTTTCATTAAGAATTCTAGTAGCAGGAGAGGTGTAACATTACAGGAGAATATTTTGAAAGACGCTCATCTGAATAAAAAGTAGTCACAGGCTACCGAACGGTAGCCAGAGAATTTTTCATTGTAAACGGAGAAATTCACAGGTATGCTGATGACATTACGATTTACGGGGCTGCGTCCTCTCCTGATATGGTTGCTGTTGTCTTGAACGTCATCCTTAAGAAGTTGCATGACTGGTCACGCCTTAACCGCCTCATACCCCACCCCGGTAAAATCGACCACACAATTTTAATGCGAGGCCAGTTTGTCGGACCGCTGCAAGCAGTGTCTTTGGAGAACAAAGTCAGGCGGGATCCCGCTAATCCCGCCTGGGATCCCAGGTTTGTCCCAGATGGGATCCCGGGTGGGATTCCGGGTGGGATCCCGGGTGGGATCCCGCCAATCCCACCTGGGATCCCGACCGGGATTTTGGAACCTCCCACATGGGATCCCGCCAATCCCACCCGCGATCCCAGCTACATTCTAGACAAAATCCCGCATGGAATCTGGCCTCAAATCCCAGGTGGGATCCCTCCAATCCCACCCGGGATCCCAGCTTCGTTCCATGCAAAATCCCGCCAATCCCACCTAGCAACCTATGTTTTTCCCGGGTGGGATCCCGCCAATCCCACCTGGGATCCCAAATTTGTACCATGTGAGATCCCAGGTGGGATCCCACAATCTCACTTGGGGCTCACTTGTTTGTGACCCAAACAGGATCCCATTTATTGAGTTTTTTAATAACCCACAAATCCCAGTTCCAGCTTTGGAACGTGTCTAAACTAAAGCCCCATTTACACTACACAAAAAAATGGGTCCGGACCTATTAAAAAGTGGTCCGGACCAATTTTTTTTTAACCGTTTACACGGATAACAATCAGGTTAGGCTTATGACTGAAAAGAGCCCTAATGCACACTGTTTACACTGCTGACTTTTGGTGTCCGGACCAGATTTTTATTTGAGCCTTCGGTATCTTTCCTTATCGCTCAGTGGTAAATACACAAAAGGGTGCGTGAAGGAAAGAAACATGGCTGACATTATGGCTGCCACTCTTTTACCATTTCCTTTTAGGAGGAGAGTGACTCCCTTTTCAGGGAAAACTCCATGAAAACATTGAACCGTTTTAGAAGAAAAACGGAGAAGGAAAATTTTTAAGTGGTCAATTCTTTTTTAATGGCCATCATAATGAGTCAATGCACTATCGAGAGAACCATATGGCAGCTTCCTAGAACAGGTGCTTGGTTTCAGCTTGCATTGAACGAGTTTTCAGACCAAGAATGGTACGAAAACTTTCGCTTGTCCAGGGCGACATTTCGATTTCTTGTTGAAGAACTTAAACCAGAACTGACATTGCAAGATACAAAGATGAGGAAGGCTGTTGAAGTAGAAAAGAAAGTGGCTCTGTTCTTGTACTTCATTGCTTCAACCGCAAGTTATAGAACGCTTTCTAACCTGTTTGGTTTATCCAGGGGTTTTGTTTGCATTTGCATCCGCAAGGTAGCCGCTGCAGTGTTGAGAAAACTTGAGCCAAAGTATATGTCAATTGCTAAAGGAGATGAACTTACTCGCGTGATAGCTAATTATAAGGAGAAATGGGGGTTTCCCATGTGTGCTGGAGCAATCGATGGCACACATATACCAATTTCAACACCACAGCAAAATCATGCAAGTTACATCAACAGAAAATCTTACCACAGCATTGTGATGCAAGCTCTTGTTGACAGTAGTTACCTATTCCGTGATATTGTTGTAGGGTGGCCAGGAAGTGTACATGATGCAAGGGTCTTTTCGAACTCACAGCTGTACGCTCTGGGGTGTAGTGGGAGGTTATTTCCACCAGATGTGAAAGAGGAAATTTTGGGGCAGGAAATTCATCCCGTTATCTTGGGAGATCCAGCCTACCCCATGTTAAATTGGCTACTTAAAGGTTACCCAGAAAATGTTAATACCCCCAGGATTCAGAGGCGTTTTAATTATCGTCTCAGTAGAGCCAGGATGACAGTTGAGAATACCTTCGGACGCTGGAAAGGAAGGTTTCCAAGATTCTCTAAGCGCCTGGATATGGAGGTTGATGGAGCAGTCGAGGTAGTAGCAGCTGCTTGTGTGATTCATAACATCTGTGAGATGAGAAAGGAACCATATTTTGTAGAGTGGTTACAAGAAGGTTTTGAACAGCCCGAGGAGGAAGTAATCCAGGATGGACCAATTGACGAACTGCCTGGATCTGATGTAAGAGACACTCTTGCTGCTTTTTTTATGTCATCGGAAGGCCAAAACTTGGAATTGGAGTAGACTTCCAGCCATTGTCATTGCACTTTTAAAAATTAACTAAACAACAGCTAACTGTTGTTGTTTTTATTTAACTGGAGATCAGTGACATATCTTCATGTTACTATGTTAGAAGAGACCCAACTATTGGTAAATGTTACCAATGATGGTCACCATAAGAGAAGTGTTGTGTTAACACTAAACAACGGCTGACCTTGATTTATTTATTGTTATTAAGCTGAAATTAAAAATTAATTCAAAGTGCTAAACGCAATTTTTTACTGTTCTTTGTTCATTATGAATCGACAGGAAATCACAACTTTCTTAAATGTCTTTTAACATCAAACATAAGCTTACCTCTTCGTCGACGTAATCGGCAACTTGGGGTTTGGCGGTCTTTTTCATTTCTTTCGTCCGCTTCTGTTTCTTTTTTTTAGGGGAAACCTCCCCATTTGCAGCTGCCAAATGCAAGCAAAACTTTTTTTAGTATATTTCCGACACTAGAACTGAACGATAGTTTTTAATAATTAGTTTTGAATTTTAAATCCTGGTTGGAGTAATGAGTCGTCTCAGGTTCACTTTGTCGGAGGACTTTGAAGAACGAGTTCTTAAACATCAAACATAACCGCTTCAGAGCACGCTTTCCATAGGCCCAGTTTCAGTTTAAGGATCCCTTGTTCTTCATTAAAACTACACTTTGTACACTCTTTGATCATGCATGATCATGTTTAAACTGTTACTTCTCGATAGCCTATATAAAGCTGTGTCATTTTCTTACCTTCAACTTCTTCCAACGCTTCAAAGTCGTTTGTTACGGGAATCGTTTGATCTTCATCTGCTTCGATCTCCGCTGTAACACCGGAATCATCCCAAATTTCGATAATTTTGCCCTCGAAGTAACATTTTTCTCTCTCTCGTCTACAGTCTTCCAGTAGCACCAAACTTTCTGGTCCACTCGCAAACTGAAGTTGGCAAGAGAGCCAACTAAGTGTTTCCCGCCTTCCGAAAGTTTTATTTTCCACGATTCCAAAACTTTCATAATCATGCCGTCTTGCGTAAATCTTAATTTGATGTAAGGCTTCTCTTTCAGCCAGGAAGGAGCACATCTTTTCCTTTGAGATCTTTGCATCTTTGGACTTTTAAGGAAACCACGAATTATGATTGCTACTCAAGTTTATAACTTTGTTCTGTCAGAAAAGTGCGAAATACTTCTGAAGGCATAGCCGCAGCCGCTAGAAGCAATTCACGTGTGAGTTCTATACAGGAGCCAATCAGAAGCCTAGTTCCAGGAATCCTGCTACAACACTTTGACTCCACTTTGATGTTTTCCCGCTCAGTAATCACTATCATAAAGATGGCCGACAGAGGGAAGCGAAAATACAAATCCTGGATTTATTCCAAAGAAGCAAAGATTCCAAAAACTACAGCTTGGAGAAGAAAACAAAACGAAAGTACTCGAATAAGTTTGTCTTCTACTAACTCAAATGACGAAGAAACGTCTCGATCAGACCGATCTGATTTCTCTGAATGCAGTCTTGACAACTCAGCTTCTGTAGACGTTTTCGTAAGCGGTCAATGTTTCCCTCGATGTTGTAGTTCTCCTAGGAACTGTGAGCAGGTCATTGAATCATTACCTTGCATTAGTAATAAGGAAGATTAGTTGGATGAATTTTTTTCTGTCCTCATTGATAAAGAGAGCGATTCAGACGTCAGTGATGCATATGACGGTGGCGATGTGTAGGATCTTTGGGAAACAGATTCAAGCTCTAGTAGCGATCACGAAAGGGACAATCATGATGAAACGAGCTCAAGCAATGGGATTACAGATACCGAATGCATTGGGAAACAAACGAATGATGATGACGATGTTCCGTTATACGAAGGAGCAAAGGTATAAAGACTTGGGGCACTGATTGTAGTCATGCTCTTTAGTTTAAGGCATCAACTCTCCGGTCAAGCTCTAACCGATTTGGTGAAAGTCATACGTTCTTTATTGCCTGATGGTCACACATTTGTTGCCTCCGCTTACTTATTAAAGAAGTATTTCGCTGATTTTTTGGGAGAACCTGCGCCAAAGAAACACTTTTACTGTGGCAACTGTCTTGGAAGAATGAAGAATGATCAAACCCAGTGTTCGAAAGAAAAATGCCGAAATGCAAAGAAGAAGATTGAATACTTCTTGGAACTTGACTTACACCTGAGGCTTTGTCAGTTGTTCAGAGGTAAATAGCTCGGTTTTTTTTTCGTAATAAACCTTGAACACAGTCATTCTTCATAAACGATAACATCTTTCATTTTTTTTTCATTTTGTTGACCCTTTAAATTGCTTTCCTGTAGAATGCTTAGATCAGAGACCTATTGTACAACGAACTTTTTGGATAATGGAAATAAGGCTCTGATTTAAGATTGTATATAACGATAAAAGGAAACACTGGGCAGAGATTTGTCCCAATTTTAATAAAAATGTAGGAAGCGTCCGACTTACAAAATGGGAAAGGGGCAAAAGTAGAAATGAGTGGGATCAACCATCACTCGACCCCTTGCTAGGTGGGAAACGGTAGCTATTTGTCACTTTTGTGGACCCAAGTATAGTGATGAAAAACAAATTTAACTTCTTTTCAAGTTGTGCAGTTGTTTCCATGATCCCTAATGTATTAATTCAAGAAATTGCCAGTGCTTATAAAGTTTGCATTGTACATGGTGCCCTTCATTTTTTCTCAGATTTCCCAAAGAGCTTTTTTGGACATCGTTTGAGACTGATGTAACTCTCGCATAGTTTCAAAAAATTCCTCACACCTTATAATTAGGAATGACTGAAAAAACGGGTAGTCACACTGGACAAGCTTAGACTTTGATATTTTTTTATGTGTTCTCAGTAATATAGATGTATATACGCTGAATTTGTTATAACAAAAAAAGAGATCCTAATAACTCTTTTATCACATACAATACCATTTCGTTTTCCTTTTACTGTGCTGCACCTGATGTTCAAGCTTATAAAGCTTCCCTTCATCTTGTCATATTGTCTTGTTTTTTTCACCAAACAGATTCAGAGTTTGCCAGGCTTCTAGGATACAGATTTGAAAACAACTATTATACTGATGATGACATCTGCGACATATATAGTGGACAAGAGTATCGCAAACTAATGCATCCGGGTGGCTTCCTCAGTAAAGATAATCCATTCAATCTGTCCTTCTCCTTTAATACTGATGGTGTTTCACCGTTTAGGTCCTCAAACAGGCAAAATTTCTGGCCCATTTTTTTTGTAATTAATGAACTTCCTCCAAGGCTTAGGTAAGTAGCATGCAGTGGTCAGAACATTATTGTATTACATAAACATATTATTATTATTATTTAAAATGTATGTATAATCTTTAATTTTGGCTTATTTTAAAGGAGGTACCCTTATAATACAGTACCATAGTGCTGTATTTTTTGTTAATTCCCTTCTTTTATGATCACACATGTTACGGTTGCATGCTCGTATATACTTCTAAAACCCTACACAAGTTAGTGCGGTTTGTTTTTGTTGATTATAATTATTTTCAGACCAAGACCAAGACCTCAAATTGTCAAATTTTGTAAGAGGTTAAATAATTTATAACCACATTACATTTATAATAATACTTTCCTTTGCATGCAGGTATTCCAGAAGATACATGTTCCTTGCTGGCCTTTGGTGTTCAAAGAAAAAGCCAAATATGCAAACATTTTGTAGAACAATAGTTGAGAGCATCAATGGCCTCTATCATAATGGTAAGATCAACACATATTGAGTTTTCAGAAGTGGCTATTGAGATTATATGATCAAATGTTTTATATTGACATTGCTTTTCTTTAAGTTAAATTCTTAGCACTGCAGCTTTAATATGTAAATATGTAGTACCAGCTGCAGGTGTTATAAGTTGAATTTAAGTTCATACATGTGTAATAATGACAAAGAGTAACAATTTCTTGTACCTGTAAATGTTTTACTTCCACTTTCGGTGTTATTGCATTAAACAACTATGATGTTGAAATGCATGTCAATGAAAAATCCCATACAAAAGCTGCTACATGCACAAAACACTGAAAGTGGCCAGCTGAAACAACATTTGTGTAAAGAGCAAAGAGTTGTAATATTATTGTAATTTTTACGTCACTTGACATTATTGTCTCACATTATGTAACTGTTGCAGGTCTCACTGTTGTGACTCCTAATGGTAAAGAAAAACTCATGCGAGCAACTCTCCTGTTGTCATCAGCTGATCTCCCTGCAAAGTCACGCGTGTCTAATATGAAGCAGTTTAATGGAGAAAAGGGCTGCTCAGTCTGTGAAGATGAAGGGAAGACGGTGGGCAGTGGCGGATTACACAGAATCTGGCCCTATACTACCAACATGGTACTGAGGACACATAAATCTGTGGACGAATCAGTTCGCAAAGTCATTCAGAGCGGAAAGCCAGTAAGTTTTGATCACCCAGTTTATTCCTAATAAGACCCTGTGCAGGCTCCTTGGGGAAAAAAATTAAATTACTCCTTTACCATTCAGACCTTGAGCAGTCATGAGCTATCATGTATGTGTGAAAGTTGTTTATGAAAATTTCACTGCTTACAATGTCTTCTTGAAAGAGTCTTTTTTTAGGTTGATACAAAATAACAAAGTTTGCATAATGAATGAGACATGTTAATTCAGTGAGTTATTATCTTTGAGAGGTGACTTTATACATTTTGTTTTTGTGTTGGTAATCATACAGGTAAATGGAATAAAAGGGGCATCTGTATTCCTGCTCTTTAAACCATTTGACTTGGTGAAGGGTTTTGTGGTAGACTGGATGCACTCAGTATGTCTTGGAGTGTCAAAATCACTGATGAATCTTTGGCTGAATACAGAAAACAGGGAAAGTGAATTCTTCTTAGGATCAAAGGTACCTGTACAACATGCAGATGTATGGGATTTTTTGTTTTGATTTTTGAAATGACATGGAAAAAAAATTATACACATTGCCTTAATCAGTTTTTTCAAGTACATCCTGCAAAGGAAATTGGTCTATTTTGTTGGTATGTCTCAGATTGCTGTGTTAAACAAGAGATTGCTCTGCATCAAAGTTCCTGACGTCATCACCCGGTGTCCAAGAAGTCTTGCAGACCGTGCAACGTGGAAAGGTAAATACGTCAATGCTTAAAAACTAAATAATAATGATTAAAGGACTGAGCAAAAAGAATTATTCAACATCAATGTAACCTTTTTGCTCTGCATGTTGCAACCTGGTTTGGTTCATTGATGTTATCTGAGCAATGGAACAGTCACAGTAAACAGCCATAGAACATTCACTGAATATAGGTTTAATTATGTGCAAGGTACTGATTGATAGGCTTGGCCAAAGGGACTATAGAAAATAACACTATCATCATTAAGAGAATATTAAAGACCTGTAGTAGTGTTAATCATGATATTAATGTTCTTTTTGTAAAGCAACTGAATACAGAAATTGGCTTCTTCACTACTCTGTGCCAGTGTTAAAAGGTGTCCTTCCAGGAGAAGGGAGTCAGACCCACAATTTTCATCTCCTTCGTCACCTCACTTTCTTTGTACAGTGATTTGGTCCACTTTGGGTCTACTCATGCTTTGGATTTGAAGCACTTAATGGCTTTCTGGCAACCATGATTCATGGAACTCAGCACATTTCTAGCCAGGTAATACAAACTTAGTCATTTTTACTTCATCTGCTAATAGTTTTATGCAAGTTAGTAGATGTAATATATAAAAATAATTATCAGTATTTGATTGAAGCATTTCCGGGAACTGATCATAGCTGTCCTTTTTTCCCCCTGTAGATTGCCTCAGCTGTTTCCATTTATCGTCACTTTCCCATGCTTATTTCTAAGATGAAAACAACAGTTAGTTCAGAAACTGTGGTATCTCTGGCAAAACAGCTTTCAGGAGAAAGATCCTTGTAAGTACTCAATATTAAGCACCTTTTTTGGAAAGTATTTTGATATATGATATACATGTTTACATGTGATCTTTTGTACACTAAAGATCATACCCCATTGCCGTCCAGGACTCAAAGAGATTTTTAAGCAAGTGTCATTTTCTCCTACATGTAGTACATTGTCAGAAGCCTGAATTGGGAGAAAGAAGACTGGTAAAAACCCAGCCGTTTTATACAAGTTTAGATACCTAAAAAGCATTGACGCATATACGATAAAATGCACTCAGTTCTAATATTTATTTAATGTGTTCTCTTGTTGTTTTAGGAGGCATTAGTCAAGTCAATCGAAGACACCACAGATGGAAAGTCAGCAGTGGAGGCACTAGCCAAAAAGCTGTTTACACCCAATGAACTGCAGAGCTCTTCAGTCACTGGTTTTCAATGCAACAAAGCGTATGAATCACGACCAGGCCTGAGTCCATCAAGGAGGAGTCTTTTAGAAAGTTAGTTTAGATTTCTCTATATTTTTTCCCTTTTTTCAACATGCTTAATATACATGTAGCATTTTTTTGACCTGAGGAAGTCTTGTTGAGGTAACAAAATCCCAAAATTTGTTTGGTCATGCCAAACCACGGCTCATCTTACAATGTAACCAGCATCTGGTGTCACCATTTAAAATTGCTTCTATGTGGTGAACATTTTTCTGTTAATATCTTATTTCCCAGGATTAAGTACTTTGCAGTGGGATACTAGTCAAATTATTAATAGTCACTAAATAAATTTAATAATTAAATAGAGGTAACAAACATATCTACTACCATGCAGTTAACATGCATTAAATTAATTTCATTTGGCTGTTTCTATCTTACAGGTATTGTGTTAAAGAAAAATTTTCTGGCAGCCACAAGGTCATCTGTTAGAAAGGACCTTGGCCTGGTTCTTAAGAAAGCGAGGGCAAGCAAAGAAAACAACAAGGCCAAATGTAAAGGACAAGAACCCAGAAAGCTATGAATGAACACTCTTTTTTTCTCATAAAATTATTATCTGTTTTAAATTTCTAAAGTTACTGTTTCATGATCAGGGTACTGACAAACAAAGATCACATGTACATGTAACATATATTTCTGATAATGATGTTTTACATGTTTCAATTGAATTTGAAATAAATACATATGGCATTAGGAAAATGAAAGTCATGACTGTTGTTTTTGTTGGGCATGGTTTTACTGTTGATGGAAGTTAATTTGTGAATAGTTACACATTTAAAAGCATCTGGAATAATGCTTGCAAAAGCTGGAATAATGCTGAAAAAATCTGGCATATGCTAGAAAAAGCTGGAATTGAATGCACTGTCTTCACTTGCTTACATTTAGGAGTGTGCAAGAATTTTCAAGAAAAATCTAGAAACTGACATTTTGTAATAAGCTGGAAAAAGCTGGAAAAAACCTGATTTATGCCAAATTTTGATTTCTGGAAAAAACTGACAGATTCTATCCTAATTAGCATGTTTCATTAACATTCTAGAAAATTCTAGAATTTTCCAGAAAAGAAAACTGGTATATTCTAGAAACTTCTAGAAATCTTTTCTGTAATATTTCTAGAAATATTCTAGAAATTCCCAGAATATTCCAGATTTGTTTTACAAGGGTACTCCTCCTGGTGATAAACAACAAGCATTTGTCCTTGGTACTTCTAAAAATGAAGTGCCAATTAAACAAGAGATGTTGGCAGCAAACAGATTCCTATCCTGCAGAGGCTTGGAAGTTTTTGCTGAAGGGGATAGAGTGGAAACATACCGAAGAGCATTTATAAATGGTTCCTTTTTCAGCTCTGCAAAAATGTGCACTAGCAAACTAAAAAATTCATACACTGTCCAGTATACAGATTCAAGTGGGAGAATTCAATTTAGAGAAATTCAAAAATTCTTTTTGATTAAGACCCATCATGTTGCTATTGTGACAAAGTTAGTGCAAATTAAATCTTTGGCATCAGGAGTCACATCATCGTCAGATGAGTTCAATGAATTTTGTAATTCAAGACCTTTACTCCACCATATGGCAGTGACCAGAGGATTACCGTATCTATTTTGTGTACCACTGTCTCAAATAGAGAGAAAACTAATAGTAGTTAGTAGCCTTGGAGATAACATGCTTACTGTAAGCACATTCCCAAATATTGTTGAACACGATTAAATTATTCTTTAACTTGACTTAAGTACAGAATTAAATGGCTGCTAGTCTTTGTCAAAGAAGATAATCAAAGTTTTGCAGATCTCATATTTTTCAACAGTGTATAGGAACCAGTTAATTTTATTAAATTCTGTTTTGTTCATTATGATTGTTGTACACTCTTGTTTCTAATTCCACCCTTGGATCCCTGGTGGGAGGCGGGATTACACCTTGGATCCCAGGTGGGATGTGGAATCCCTGGATGGACCCTAAATGGGACAGGTGGGATCCCGCCTTGGATTGCAGGTGGGAGGCAGCATTCGCCTTGGATCCCGGGTGGAAGGCGGGATCCCAGGTTGGACCCTGGGCGGGACTGGCGGGATCCCGCCTAGGATCCCAGGTGAGAGGAGGGATCCCACCTTGGATCCCGGGTGGGAGGTGGGATCCCAGGTTGGACCCCAGGTGGGAAAGGCCGGATCCCGCCAATGGTGGCGGGATCCAGGCAATCCCACCTGGGATCCCAGGTGGGATTGGCGGTATCCCACCTGAATCCCACCTGCCTTTTTACCTGCGAAGTAAACTAGGTGTTTAGGCGTCGAAATTGACAGTGATCTTACTTGGAAACATCATGTAAAAGAGTTATCCGTTCCTATTATGAAGCTGTTTACGAAATATGAGTGCAACTATAACTTCCGGAGGAAATTGACCTTATTTTCTAAAGGCAAAGTAAGGACAAACGTCGCTTGAAAGCGAATTGCAGATCGGTTCAATATGACATCCTCCGTCAACGTTACTGGACAGCAATGCTCGAATGAGTGGAAGAAGTTAGAAGAGAAATACGAGAAAGTCACGGAGCACAACAGTTGTACAAGGAATGAAAGAAAGGAAGGTGAATTTCAGAATGAAATGACAGAGTTTTTCGGATCTAACCCAAAGATTGTTCCAGCAACCACTGTTTCCTCTATGGCCATGGAAGCAGAGAGAGCGGATCATTCCCACCATGAGGACGAGGAACTTCCCCACTAGACGCTACTCAAAAAGAAAAAGTGAAGGTCGTCAAAGTCATCCGCGTCAGAGATGATCAGGTTTCTCAAGGAATTTAAAGATGAGAAGCGGAAAGAGGAGCTGGAAAAAATGTCACTGTCTCAAAAAATCACAAAGAGAAAATGTCATAATGCCATAACTATGGTACACTGAGTAAACACCAGCATATAAGAACCTACAATTTTCGAGATCAGGCTGAACAGGTTCTTATATTTCAGGGTCCTTTGGGAAAAATCATGCTGATTAGGTGCTTAAAAGGTTCTTAATTTTGGAGAGTTTGTCGTAGCATTATACATTCACAGAATTATTACACTACTAGTACATAATGGTTTAGAACTAGTTAAAATAACAAACATATGCTCGCCAAGCTAAATTCATAGACCCAATAGCATATTCTTAGTTTCATGTACAGTTAAAATCCAGAATTTGGATTATTGAAATTTCGGTGATCTTTGGTATAAGAACCACTTTCCCTCGCCAGGCTTAACAGGTTCTTATAAATTTGAGTATTAAAATGCCAATTTTAAGTTCTTATATGCGGGTGTTTACTATACCACAAATGTTGACCACTTACCTGCCACCAGATGAAAATCAAATCATAAATTGATTTGATCAATATTATACCAATTGTGTCCTCTCCGCCGTTCATAGTGTTATATTGATGTAATTATCACACGTACACAAAACTGACCTGACAGCGTGAAATAATCACATAGAGCATTATTAAAATCTTAAATGGGTGCAGCCCTTCCTCTTGCTTGACGGTAATGTAAACTTTTACGTTGGTGGAAAAGTCATTTATCATGGGAACAACTCTTATCATCACACAAAATCCGTGGAAACAATTTAGGCTGATGCTGGGCTCCATATTTATTTGGAAACTTTTAGTGAGCCCATGCCCCATGCAGATATTTTTCATTTACATGTAAAATCAAAGAAAGAAGTGTTTGCCGAAAAGCCAGAGAGGTTGTCCATATCTGATTCGACGTTATATAAGTTATGGGATAGCAGAGTTAAGATCCCAACAAAGGTTTGTCTTATTGTTAATTTGATGTGAGGGAAGTTTCTCCATGATATAAGGCGTTTCTAATTCATTTTCAGAACATATAAATTCCAACTGACTTAGTATTGTCACAATTTACTCTGACCCAGAATGGTAAGCATTTGGCATTAGGTCTGTCTCTTCGAAAAATCAAACAAAGAAATTTTTTTATCTCTCTGCCATGAAGCTGTTTTAAGAGGTTGACTTCATATCTCATAATGAACCGTTCTCCCTTTTCTTATGGCTAGATACAGATTTTACAAGTTACCTTTATTTAGTAAATTGTTATAAACAATTGCGCTAATGTTATTATTGTTTCTTCTTCCGTGATAGAATCACATTTTTGCAAAATGTCCACAGTGCCAGGGCCTACGAAAGAAGTGTTTTGAGTGTGGAAAAATGCTGCAGCAATAAGTGCCCTCAAAAATGAGAGGAAAAAACACGCGGACTTGTACATGTGAGACTAGCTATCATTTTTCTGATGATCAGATGGCTTCCAACAATAATTCAGTCTTTGAATTTTAGCATATTTGGAATATTTAGAATATTTCACTCCCCTGTTAGTAATATCACTTTGCCCACTTGAATGAACATTACTTTGCCCATTGAAGTTCTTTTCCTGCCCTTACATTAAAAATTGTTGACATCACCAGTTGCTTCAATTTTTTCCAAAAAGGGGCATGGTGAATCATATGGACAGTTTTGCGTATCACTATTATCAAAGACCGATATGGGACTGAAAAAATGAGTAATATAAAAGATTACCATTAAATGCTCAAACTTTGCTCAAAAACTAATTTGCGGGACTTAATGATGTTTTCAATATTGCACAACTTAGACTTCATATTGTTTCGACTATACAAGTCTACAAATAACCCAAAACTATATTAATATTTTGTTTTACTTTTTGTAGGGCTGAAAAGCGGGATTACTACAACAGGCAAGCGGTCAGTGTCCACCAACCCGACGATTTACTTTCTGTTATATATGATGGGATGCATAAAGAGAAGACCAAGCTCCCACGATATTCAAAAAATGCAGCAAAAGATCTTGAATCTATCCAAAGGATTCCTTGTAGCTTTCTGGGTCTTATTTGCCATTGACAAGGTACGAAGTGTATTTACATGATAAGTGAAATTAAAAATAAGGGAAATTATTGTTTGCATTTTTTATATAGTTTTTGTTGAAAACCTAGTTCTTTACAAATATTGTCCTTGCAGGCTCACTCATTTTCTTTTTGAAGGGCAGTTTTGGAGCCTGTTGATCTTTGTTCAGATCCCCACAAACATGAATCAAAAGCACAATACAAAGTCTATTTTTGCATGAGGAGAATACTAATTCATCCATACGTGAAGTCCATTTTTGATTTCTCATTAGAGCAATTAGAAACTTCCTTTGGACAGTGTTAGATTTTATACATGTAAATCATCAACGCATTAACATTGATGTTAGTGTTCTTGACTTGTCTTTAAAAGGATCAAATGGCCATATTACACAAGGGAAGGGATTTCTCAACCTGGGGTGCTACAGCGAGAATGCCAACTATATTTTAAGTGCTTTGGTTCACTTACTTGCGAATCCTGCTTCAACACCTGGGCCCTTTTCCAGAAATCTAAGCCTCCAATTTGACAATGCCTCGAACAACAAGTGCTCGTTGGCAGTATCTTTCTTTGGGTACCTTATATCAGAGGACATATTTCATGACGTAACGGTGTTGAACGTTATTTTAATGGCAAAAATATAAAGAGTCCTTCAATCCTGTACCTTAGTCAGAAATGATTTTCTTCCTTATATGTATAGGTCTATGGAAACACTCTTATTGTTCATCACACTCATGAAGATATTGACAGGTACAAGTATTAAGCCTTTTAGTATAGTTTCTTCCACGAAGATAATTTTACACAGGGTGCAAAGAACGTCATTTTTACAGCTTGCCATTCGGGCAAGCTGAAGCTAACATTTACAGCCCAAATGTCGTTTTAACCGGCATCCAAAATTTTTTGATGAGCAGAATTGATTTCATAGTTCTTCCGTAAGTTGAATCCCTCAAAATACTTCACTTGCTGTCGGGCAAGTTAAGAACAGAATTCACTGGCCCAATAGCAAAATCCCCCTAGCCCTGGACTATCTCTGGACGCTGATTTTACAACAAAGATACAACAATGGACAAAACAGTCAGCCGGCCGGGAGGCCTATTTAAGGAAACTGTTAATAGCGCTCTTACTGTTAACTGATTATACCCTGTTTTATAATCAACAAAACAATCTCAGCTAGTGCAGTGCACACCTCTACGGAATAAAAGATGTTAAACCGTATGTTAGGAAATTATAAATTTTTGTTTCCTTTTAGATCTATAACTTGAATCTTAGCAACGTTTTATCAATTAATTTACTATATTACTTTGACAAGAATTTTAACAAACATTTATAGTTAAAAACAACTATACAAACAACATTATATTGATATGCAAATAATGCACAATGAGTAAACTTGTTTTTATACAATTAACCTTTTTTGGAATGCATTGTTTAAATATAACTTGCTTGCATTATTTGTGTTCTTGCCTTATTGTTGTTGTTTTTGTAAAAAATATGGTTCAAGTTTATGGTAGCATAAACTGTTGTTAATAAACCTGAGAATGCTGCCCTATGAAAGCACACTTAGGACATCCTAGCAACAATCATTTCTCTGTTCTTACGTCACACAACGTGCAACATTTGGATAAGCTTTTGTACTAAGTAATAGTAGATACCAGTTCAAAGTACAAGAAAGAACAATGAACAGTAACTAGTTGTTGGATTACAATGTATCCCTCTTCTTTGGCAAAGTCCACTGTATCTTAGCATGATATATTACTAGACTCCACAAAGGTTCCCTTCATATTATCACATGCTTATCATGCACATGTGCTCCTCTTTTTGCCGTACACTGTCCTTTCCCAGTCAGTTCTCTTAGGGCTTCGGTTCATTCACAACAGCGTTTTTTCACCTGGTCTTCTTCCACGCAAATTGCTTCGCTTAAATCGACTTACATAACTTAGTGTACCATGCCAAGGCAAAGGAGGAATATCAACGGTCGAAATGCCGTATTGGATGGCGCCAACGTACCAGCAGAACCAACAGACTACAGCGCCATGTCTACCGAAGCTCCTCGCCTCATGCTGGGAGAACGTCACCTCCAGCAAACCGGGAATCGCCGCGAACTTATCTCGCGACTACAACAGAATGCGCAGCAAAGACCCTCCGCATCACAATCAGCAAGTGCCTCGTCCAATTCCAGTATCGCCACCGGCGTTCCACACACGGAATTGGCTGCCTTAATTGCCTCTATAGTGGACGAGCGGATGAACCGCCAACTAATCCAAGACGGCGGAGCCAGCAATGCTCAACTCACTCGGCCCAGTCCTCCAAGTAACCTTCAAGACAGCCTCAGGTCCAGTCCTCCTCCACCGCCACAAGATGGCGGCCAAAACATGACCCACCAACAACAACCTTCCCTTCAAAATCCTCCAACAGGTAATCTCCTCCCAAACACCGCCGTTTCTTCTGGTCTCGCCGCTTCTTCTGGTCTTGGTTCCCTCTCTTCTCCTGTCGACTTTTCTGATCCAGCCCAAGTAGCGTCGCTTCACCCTAACTTCCGACAGCCTTCCCTCGCCAGCCATCTGACTAAAGCCACCCCGATGGCCATCACCAACGGTGAGTACGTGGACTTTGTTACCCTTTTACCAATGACCTCCCTTCTCACTGACACCATTCCCATCTTAACCTTAAGGTAGGCGATCAGGGTCTAACTATTCCCCTTCCCTCCTCCTCTAAAACCCCAAAATCACCTCCATCGATCGATGGCTCGATGTCTTTGCCGTATATTTCGCCGTTATAGTGTCTGTATATCCCTCTTGTGCCGCGAATTTAATAGCCTATCAACAGTTGATTCGAGATGCGGGACGAAAGTTCCCTGGGATGGCTTGGTATGTCTATGATGTGGAATTCCGAAGGCGTGCCTCCCATAACCTTTCTGCCAAGTGTTGGGAACGGGACGTCCAGCTCTACCTCGATACCTCCAAAGGCCTCCCCAAATCGGGATGCCGATCTTGCGGCAGCACTGATCATCTTTCTGATACCTACCCTTTATCTCCTCGTAGGTCCCAGGATGCCCTTACCCAATCCGACCTGTGCTTCCACTGTAACAAAGGCCGACCCTGCGCTTGCACCCCATGCCCTTACCAACACAGGTGTAACCAGCCGGGATGCCCAGCAGCTTACTCTGGGGAAGATCACACTAAACTCACCCGCCACAGAGAGGACAGACCTAAATCGTCTTCAAGCTATGGCAATTCCTCCCGAGGACACTCCTAATTACCTCTCCCAACTGACCCTCCCACCCCCATTGACATCAACAAATTTGCATACTACCTTCACGGCTATCCAGATCACACAACAGTTAATCATCTTCTCACAGGGTTTCCTCAGGGCTTTAAGATCGGCTATTCAGTGACGTCAACAATGACGTGCAGTATTCCACAAGGGAGTTCCCTAGGCCCAGTATTATTTTTAATCTACATAAACGATTTACCAAACTGTTCAAATGCTCTAACATTTAGAATATTTGCAGACGATACAAACGTTTTTGCCTCAGCCCGCAACCTGAAAGATCTTGAAGAAATAGTTAACTCTGAACTTAAAAAAGTGAAAATATGGTGCGATGTAAATAGATTGTCAATTAATTTCAATAAAACAAACTTCATGATCATTAAATCATCAAAGAAAAAAGATGACCAAGTAAATATCAAGATTGAAAGTGCAGATGGTACAATAAATGTTCTGCAGGGGAAGCAAAAAATAAAATATCTAGGTGTCTTGCTTGATGAAACGATGTCTTTCAATCACCATATTTCATACATCTGTACAAGAATTGCGCGAAACAATGGTATTATATCTAAGCTGAGACATTATCTAACTCTTCTACAAATGAAACAAATCTACTACAGCTTAATGTACCCATATATATCTTATGCAATATTAGCATGGGGGAGTGCATACAAAACACATATTGATAAGATACAAGCTAAGCAAAATCATTCTGCTAGGCTTATTTTCTTTGCCACCACTTATGGTGAACACACAGAAAGTGCACTTCCCCTATTAAATTTATTAGACGTTCTTACGTAAAAAAAGTGCGAAATAATACGGGGAAACAAACAATCGGATATGCTGCATGTACCGTCTGGGACAAAATTCCCTTAACTCTTAAAGAACTAAACACATACCAATTCCAAAAACAACTGAAACCTTATTTGCTGTCAGAACAACATAGTTAACATAACTTAAGCATATACTCTTTCTTTCTTAATACATTAGAATTTATTACCAAAGAAGCAGTTTTAAAATACATCTCAATTCTCTAAAACGTTACATTCTGGAGAACTGGCTAGAAAATCTTAGGATTATTTCAGCTCCAGGCCTTATTAAGTACAAATAAATATATATATATATTTGCTCTTTCATATATGTAATTAATTAAGTACAAGGCGAATAAACGTATTGTTGTTAATGTTGTCAGGTCCAAGGGCCCCCAAGGAATATTCTAACCTTCCCTGTGCAAATATAAACCCATCTATTATTGACAAAAACATGCTAAAAGAGGTTACCCTGGGCCACACAGCAGGGCCTTTTCACATCCCTCCTTCCTCCAACCTGCAGGTATACCCCATTGGGGCCATTCCCAAGAAACACTCTTCGGAACGGCGAACCATTTTCCATCTCTCCTATCCCAAACACCGCCCCACCAGTGTCAACACCCACATTCCTCCCGAATCCTATTCTTTGCAATACATAAAGGTGGACCAGGCAATTGCCATATTTCAGGATCTCGGTCCAGGATGCTCCATGTCCAAACTAGACATAAAATCAGCATTTCGCAATGTTCCCGTCCACGCCTCTGATTGGGAACTTCTGGGTATGAAATGGGAAGGGCTCTATTTCTTCAATATGGTCCTCCGTTCGGTCTCAGGTGGGCTGTCTTCCTTTTTGATGAATTTTCTTCTGCAGTTGAATGGATCATTCAAAGTAAACTTAAATATTCCCAAGGTTATCCATATAATAGATGATTTCTTTTTTGCTACCTCCCCTCCCAGATCAACATGCATGACTGCTCTATGCCAAATTTTGGACCTTTTCACAGATCTAAATATCCCCATAGAAAACCTTCCCTGCATGCACATGCCTTGAATTTATGGGTATCCTACTAGATTCCAATAAAATGGAAGCCCCTCTCCCGGTGGATAAACTCACCCGCATTAAGGAAGCCCTTGGTCAGTGGACTATTAGGAAATCTGCTACCTTACAGGAGCTACCGCCTCTGATTGGCACCCTTCAATTTGCTTGTAAGGTTATAGCCCCTGGCCGCCCCTTCTTGCAACGCATTATCCACCTTACAAAGGGTATCAAGTTCCCCCATTGGCACATTCACCTTAATTCCGGTTTCCGTAACGACATTTCTATGTGGTAACATTTTCTCCAAAATTGGAAAGGGGTGTCTCTCTTTTTAGATACCCAGGCCACCTCTCCGCCAGAGCTTCAGCTATACACTGATGCTTCTGGTTCCCTTGGGTATGGGGGTTTCTTAGCAGGGGAATGGTTCCAGGGCCACTGGCTCCTCCACCACACCCTCAGCCAAAAAAGGGGTATTAGTATTGAATGGCAGGAGCTATTTCCCATATACTTGGCCTGTATTTTATGGGGTCCCCACTGGTCCAGCCAAAGAATCCGCATGTGGTGCGACAAGTCAGTGGTGGCTAGCATAAACTCTAAACACATTAAGTCCTCCCGGAAATGGACCTTATTTGAGCAATCACACTTCAAACACTCAAATATAACTTTGCATTCACGGCTACTCACATCCCGGGCTTAGACAATTCTATCGATGATTCACTTTCCCGTTTTCAGATGGACTGCTTCAGTACCCTGGCTCCATCAGCCTCTCTCACAGCCTCCACCATCCCTCCATCAGCGATAAACATCTGAGAGGTTCTGTACAGCGATACCTTCATGCTTCCCTTGCCCCTTCCACTTGACGCACCTATCAAGTTGGTGTCAAACACTTCCTCACCTTTACCCTCATGCATAGTTTAGTAGGCCCCTCAACCACCCTCCTAGCAGCCTCAGAGATAACCCTGGTGTATTTTGCATCTCATTTAGCCAACACACTATCCTATGAAACAGTCAAGCTGTACTTGGTGGCAGTGCAGGACCTCCATCGGGAGCTTAGCTTTCCTCTTATGCTCAATGACATGCATAGGTTACGAGAGGTCCTGACAGGCATTACAGCAATAAAAGGGGGTGGTAGGCCTACACGACTTTTACCTCATGCCAAAATGCTGCTTATTCCAATGAAGTTGTTTTTATCTGCTGGGTGGATTATGCTCTGGAAGGTTCTGCATTTTACTGAGCAAATGTGGTTTTAGCCGCATGTTTCACACTGAGAGGTCATGACATATGTATCGATTGACTGTAGTTATTGTTTTCTGGTCGGCAGGATTTGCCCTGTGATGCAAGCGCATATTCTTTGACCTCTTTTGAAGCGTAAAGCTTTTTTTATTACGGCTGAATAAGGGTTCCAGTTTTATCCAAAGTGCCTTCTGGATCTGATCTAAGCGATTTTCTTTAGTCCGTGAGTGTAATGTTTTTCTGCAATGCTGTATCACGCTGGGCCCAGCTTGTCGGTTTTCTTTGCAGAATGTTAAATTATCACGGATAGTGACTTACAGATCCAAAATTATAAGAGTGAAATGCAGCTTAAACTGAAGCTACATAAACTTACTATGGAGAATTGAATTGTGACTCAGTAAACTCCAGCTTAGTGTTTTTCTAAAGATAGTGTGAGGCTTTTGACTGGAGCGCGTAGTTCCTCCCTTGGTAATAGCTTTGAATAAGCTTAACAGTCTTTAAACTGTTTTGTTATTGCCACAGTTTGTGATCAGGCAAGACCATGGTTTCGGTTCTCCTCACGAACCTCATCAGTTGCCGGGTTGGCTTTGTGCTTAGTTGCTTTTAGAAGAGCAACTTTAGTTGTACTTTGTCGTGGCGAGAACGGTACAGCCGTTCTGTCTGTTGAGCTTTGAACTGAACATAAATACCCACGTGGCGGATCGAAATTCTTGTTTTCTTATTGGCTACTGAACGTAACCAATTGCGGACTGTGTATTTCGATCCTCTTCTGCTTCAAGCTAGAGGTGTGTTTTTTTGGAAAGCATTTCGTGAAAATTTAGGCACTTTCTCTCGTGGAAGAGTTCGAAGACTCTTGTAAATAGATGCGCACAGAGTTTCCGTACACTCCCTCTAAAAACTGGAGTGGATACGTTTCTTGTTAGTTGCGCAATGTTGAACTTTCTACTCTGTGCTTGGTTCTTATTAGTGCCAGTGTTGATTTTCATAAGGTAAAACGGGGCCTACCCGTAAACAAATCATAGCAATAAAAGGGGGTGGTAGGCCTACACGACTTTTACCTCATGCCAAAATGCTGCTTATTCCAATGAAGTTGTTTTTATCTGCTGGGTGGATTATGCTCTGGAAGGTTCTGCATTTTACTGAGCAAATGTGGTTTTAGCCGCATGTTTCACACTGAGAGGTCATGACATATGTATCGATTGACTGTAGTTATTGTTTTCTGGTCGGCAGGATTTGCCCTGTGATGCAAGCGCATATTCTTTGACCTCTTTTGAAGCGTAAAGCTTTTTTTATTACGGCTGAATAAGGGTTCCAGTTTTATCCAAAGTGCCTTCTGGATCTGATCTAAGCGATTTTCTTTAGTCCGTGAGTGTAATGTTTTTCTGCAATGCTGTATCACGCTGGGCCCAGCTTGTCGGTTTTCTTTGCAGAATGTTAAATTATCACGGATAGTGACTTACAGATCCAAAATTATAAGAGTGAAATGCAGCTTAAACTGAAGCTACATAAACTTACTATGGAGAATTGAATTGTGACTCAGTAAACTCCAGCTTAGTGTTTTTCTAAAGATAGTGTGAGGCTTTTGACTGGAGCGCGTAGTTCCTCCCTTGGTAATAGCTTTGAATAAGCTTAACAGTCTTTAAACTGTTTTGTTATTGCCACAGTTTGTGATCAGGCAAGACCATGGTTTCGGTTCTCCTCACGAACCTCATCAGTTGCCGGGTTGGCTTTGTGCTTAGTTGCTTTTAGAAGAGCAACTTTAGTTGTACTTTGTCGTGGCGAGAACGGTACAGCCGTTCTGTCTGTTGAGCTTTGAACTGAACATAAATACCCACGTGGCGGATCGAAATTCTTGTTTTCTTATTGGCTACTGAACGTAACCAATTGCGGACTGTGTATTTCGATCCTCTTCTGCTTCAAGCTAGAGGTGTTTTTTTGGAAAGCATTTCGTGAAAATTTAGGCACTTTCTCTCGTGGAAGAGTTCAAGACTCTTGTAAATAGATGCGCACAGAGTTTCCGTACACTCCCTCTAAAAACTGGAGTGGATACGTTTCTTGTTAGTTGCGCAATGTTGAACTTTCTACTCTGTGCTTGGTTCTTATTAGTGCCAGTGTTGATTTTCATAAGGTAAAACGGGGCCTACCCGTAAACAAATCATAGCAATAAAAGGGGTGGTAGGCCTACACGACTTTTACCTCATGCCAAAATGCTGCTTATTCCAATGAAGTTGTTTTTATCTGCTGGGTGGATTATGCTCTGGAAGGTTCTGCATTTTACTGAGCAAATGTGGTTTTAGCCGCATGTTTCACACTGAGAGGTCATGACATATGTATCGATTGACTGTAGTTATTGTTTTCTGGTCGGCAGGATTTGCCCTGTGATGCAAGCGCATATTCTTTGACCTCTTTTGAAGCGTAAAAGCTTTTTTTTTATTACGGCTGAATAAGGGTTCCAGTTTTATCCAAAGTGCCTTCTGGATCTGATCTAAGCGATTTTCTTTAGTCCGTGAGTGTAATGTTTTTCTGCAATGCTGTATCACGCTGGGCCCAGCTTGTCGGTTTTCTTTGCAGAGTGTTAAATTATCACGGATAGTGACTTACAGATCCAAAATTATAAGAGTGAAATGCAGCTTAAACTGAAGCTACATAAACTTACTATGGAGAATTGAATTGTGACTCAGTAAACTCCAGCTTAGTGTTTTTCTAAAGATAGTGTGAGGCTTTTGACTGGAGCGCGTAGTTCCTCCCTTGGTAATAGCTTTGAATAAGCTTAACAGTCTTTAAACTGTTTTGTTATTGCCACAGTTTGTGATCAGGCAAGACCATGGTTTCGGTTCTCCTCACGAACCTCATCAGTTGCCGGGTTGGCTTTGTGCTTAGTTGCTTTTAGAAGAGCAACTTTAGTTGTACTTTGTCGTGGCGAACGGTACAGCCGTTCTGTCTGTTGAGCTTTGAACTGAACATAAATACCCACGTGGCGGATCGAAATTCTTGTTTTCTTATTGGCTACTGAACGTAACCAATTGCGGACTGTGTATTTCGATCCTCTTCTGCTTCAAGCTAGAGGTGTGTTTTTTTTTGAAAGCATTTCGTGAAAATTTAGGCACTTTCTCTCGTGGAAGAGTTCAAGACTCTTGTAAATAGATGCGCACAGAGTTTCCGTGACACTCCCTCTAAAAACTGGAGTGGATACGTTTCTTGTTAGTTGCGCAATGTTGAACTTTCTACTCTGTGCTTGGTTCTTATTAGTGCCAGTGTTGATTTTCATAAGGTAAAACGGGGCCTACCCGTAAACAAATCATAGCAATAAAAGGGGTGGTAGGCCTACACGACTTTTACCTCATGCCAAAATGCTGCTTATTCCAATGAAGTTGTTTTTATCTGCTGGGTGGATTATGCTCTGGAAGGTTCTGCATTTTACTGAGCAAATGTGGTTTTAGCCGCATGTTTCACACTGAGAGGTCATGACATATGTATCGATTGACTGTAGTTATTGTTTTCTGGTCGGCAGGATTTGCCCTGTGATGCAAGCGCATATTCTTTGACCTCTTTTGAAGCGTAAAGCTTTTTTTATTACGGCTGAATAAGGGTTCCAGTTTTATCCAAAGTGCCTTCTGGATCTGATCTAAGCGATTTTCTTTAGTCCGTGAGTGTAATGTTTTTCTGCAATGCTGTATCACGCTGGGCCCAGCTTGTCGGTTTTCTTTGCAGAATGTTAAATTATCACGGATAGTGACTTACAGATCCAAAATTATAAGAGTGAAATGCAGCTTAAACTGAAGCTACATAAACTTACTATGGAGAATTGAATTGTGACTCAGTAAACTCCAGCTTAGTGTTTTTCTAAAGATAGTGTGAGGCTTTTGACTGGAGCGCGTAGTTCCTCCCTTGGTAATAGCTTTGAATAAGCTTAACAGTCTTTAAACTGTTTTGTTATTGCCACAGTTTGTGATCAGGCAAGACCATGGTTTCGGTTCTCCTCACGAACCTCATCAGTTGCCGGTTGGCTTTGTGCTTAGTTGCTTTTAGAAGAGCAACTTTAGTTGTACTTTGTCGTGGCGAGAACGGTACAGCCGTTCTGTCTGTTGAGCTTTGAACTGAACATAAATACCCGTGTGGCGGATCGAAATTCTTGTTTTCTTATTGGCTACTGAACGTAACCAATTGCGGACTGTGTATTTCGATCCTCTTCTGCTTCAAGCTAGAGGTGTGTTTTTTTGGAAAGCATTTCGTGAAAATTTAGGCACTTTCTCTCGTGGAAGAGTTCGAAGACTCTTGTAAATAGATGCGCACAGAGTTTCCGTACACTCCCTCTAAAAACTGGAGTGGATACGTTTCTTGTTAGTTGCGCAATGTTGAACTTTCTACTCTGTGCTTGGTTCTTATTAGTGCCAGTGTTGATTTTCATAAGGTAAAACGGGGCCTACCCGTAAACAAATCATAGCAATAAAAGGGGGTGGTAGGCCTACACGACTTTTACCTCATGCCAAAATGCTGCTTATTCCAATGAAGTTGTTTTTATCTGCTGGGTGGATTATGCTCTGGAAGGTTCTGCATTTTACTGAGCAAATGTGGTTTTAGCCGCATGTTTCACACTGAGAGGTCATGACATATGTATCGATTGACTGTAGTTATTGTTTTCTGGTCGGCAGGATTTGCCCTGTGATGCAAGCGCATATTCTTTGACCTCTTTTGAAGCGTAAAGCTTTTTTTATTACGGCTGAATAAGGGTTCCAGTTTTATCCAAAGTGCCTTCTGGATCTGATCTAAGCGATTTTCTTTAGTCCGTGCAATCAGTGTAAAATGGGGTTGACAGGCCTACACGACTCCCCAGCGCGTGTTTAAAATAGCCTTTCTATAGTTTGGCTCTCACGAGTATGTCTTTGAGTGACCGCCCTCTTTTATAAGATACGAGGGGCGGTTTTTTGTAGATTTCGCTCAGTAATGGTTGTTGTTCTATTAAATGCCAGTTTTTCATGAGAATTTGCTTTAGGTTTGGCACTGATGGTTGGTATTGTGTGACAAAAGGCAAGATTCGTTGGTTTGTCTTTGGTTTCTGTTGAAGGGCTAGTTTCCTGTCTTTGAAGTTCACCTCTGAGAGGGTTGTGTTAATAAGATCCTCTGGGTAACCCCTCTGTAGCAGATGCGTTTTGAAATTTGTAATTTTCTCTTCGAATATTAGTTCGGAAGAGTTTGTTCTGAGGAGTCGGAGGGCTTCCCTTTAATGAAGCCTTTTTAACTCCTTGCGGGTGACAGGAAGCAAAATGGGTATACTGAAATGTCTCAGTTGGTTTGAAATGAGTACGCACATCAAGGATTGCGTCTCTTTCGAATCTTTCCCTTTGTAGATGTAGGTGTCCAGGAATGTTGTTTCCTTATCGGAAATTTCAGCCGTAAATTTGATCGTAGGGTGATGATTGTTTGCTTGTTCAATGAAATGTTTTATTCTGGCTCTGTTTGTAGTCCAGAGCGAGAAGATGTCGTCTATGTAACGTTTCCAAACGAGCGGTTTGAGAAGGCTTCGCTAAGGATTTCCGTCTCTACCTTGTTCATGAATATATTAGAAAAGGCGACTGCCATTTTCGTGCCCATGGCCGTACCATGTGTTTGAAGGTAGTTTTTTCCATTAAACTGGAAAGAGTTTTCTTGGAGAATTAGCCTGAGCGCTCGTTTTAGTAGTTGTGTAGGGATAGGAGGTTCGTTTCTATAGAATATTTCGTATGCTCTGCATACCGTGTCTATTCCCTCCTCTTGCGGTATATTTGTATACAAGCTCGTAACGTCCATTGAAACAAGTATGACGTCCACTGGGACTTTCGTATTTTCTATGAAATTGACGAAGTCGGTAGTA